ATCAACAAAAGCTGCGATCATACCGGAAGCAGTCTACAGATCCAGCGCAATCCTAGCACAAACCTCAATGACATCTCCCTGCTGCTCGTGGTGGCTCGTAAGATGCACTCAGTCTTAGACTCGGTCACGCTCTAGGACACACCAGAGGTAGCTTTTCCTCTCCAGAGACGAAAGTAAAGGGGCATCCATTCCAGGATAAGAAATCCAGAACCACCCACAGCTCCAGACAGCCCTAAGCGATCATTTTCATTGTGGTAAAGTAGATACGACGGAAAACTTGCCACCTTAAGCACGTAACGAAGTCACATCAGCGGAATCACAAGTCGCAAACCTTCGCCACTCCCATCGCCAAAGCTTTTCTTCACCACTGTGGATCTCCAAACGCTTCTTCCCGCCAAACAAATCTCACGCCCATTAAGCACGGCCTCCCGCTGCCCCCCCCAGCCCCACCCCCACACGCACTTCTCTCTGCCCGGGTGCGATCACTTCCCTCCACTCCAGCAAACTTGGGCCTCAGTGTCCTCAACTGACCCAAACCGCAGCGGGTCCGTGTCTGCGCGGCCCGCACCGCAGCAGGTGTGTGCACGACCTCCGCGCAGCAGCGAACCCCGCACAGCAGGAGAAAGCTGAGGACACGGCAGCTGTTTCCATCATCACCTCATAGGCCCATTTTGATCTCCATTAGGGACTTTTGATGCATTAGAAGCCTTTGCCCTAAAATTGCACATGGGCTGAATATTCTTCGGAACCAAAACGACTTAAAGAAAACGAAGCTGCCACGCAAGCGACCTCGCGTGAAGCCAAAAAGCTACGACGTTCCAGGTCTGGCTGCCTGCACTCCTCCAGTCCAGGAACAGGTGTGTCTTGAAAACTGACAATACGCTGCAACCTGTGACGTTCCAGAACGTTCCCTGGCACAGAGCAGACCTGCATGTGCACAGGGTCTTTAAGAAAATGAGCCCTGGTGGGCTGGCCCCGGTCTCCGTGGTGGCCCCGTGCCCACGCTAAGTGGCTCTGTGTTCACAGCAGGCGCGTCTCCTATCACTGCCAGGACCCTTTTTAAAAAGGCAAAGCAAGCAGATGTTCACCAAATTTCTAAGCGCAAATAACCCACGTAGGTAGAAACCCCCATTTTTGCAAGTATTTTCCTCCATTTCACCAAGTCTCAGTTTAATGTCCTCAAGTGACACAAATGGTTATTAGACGTCATGAAGTTTATTTAGCATTTCACGGTGGCTCTTCAGCAGAAACAGGCGCGCGGGGTGCAGGAGGCGCGAGCATAGCTCCTTCCCCACCAGAGCGGGCTCTGGGCCTCCCCGCAGTCCTCAACAGCGCCCCCAGCAGGCCGCGTCTAGGGCGCCGTGGGCGGCACAGTCCAGGGAGCCGAGGAAGACGCACATCTCCTGCACACGCCCAGGCCTCTGCACTGGCAGGACACCGCGGGTCTCGGAGGACCCACCGCCCACCCCGAGTCCGGCGGACAGCAGCAGTTGTGAAAATCTCACAGAAACTTCAAATTGTGCCGCGGCCTGAACGAGCACGGACTCGGGGGTGAGGGTGCAGCCGTGCACCCCCACGGCCGAGCGAGAGCCACACGGGGTCGCCCCGCGCTCTGCTCCTAGAGCATCGCCCAAGTAATCCCATATTGGAGGCGAATGTAAAGCCTCGGGATTACCGGACAAGCGTGTGGGCAGGATGGAGGGATACGGCGGACAGAACAACCCCCCAGCACATCCACATCTGACTCCCTAGAACTTGTGAGGATGCCTCTCGCAGGCAGACGGGGGCCCCGGGTCATCCGGTGGGCAGATGGGGGGACCCGGTCATCCAGTGATCTCAGATGCACAGAGAAGAGGAGGAACATGGGGACAGGTAGGGTGACGGAGGGAGCAGAGGTCAAGGTGAGGCAGGAAGGGGCACCCAGGCAAAGGAAGCGGGCATCTAGAAAGGGCAAGAAACAGACGCCTGGCGCCGCCCCAGCCTCCGGGGGAAGCATCCCAGCCCGCACCCTGATTCGGGGCCAGTGACCCCGGGGCGGTGACGCCGCGCTTCTGTCACTTTGGAGCTGACGCGTGCAGGGATGTCTCTGTGGGAGCCAGTCCCAAGGAGGCGCGAGAAGCCAGGCGGCGGGGCGGCAGGCTGCTGGGTCCGGCCCAGGGACAGCGGTGCAGGGCCGGCCGCGGAATCTGGATCCCCAGCCCCCCGCTGCGCCCTTCCCGGTTCTTGGTGCCGGCGAGCGAGCGCACCGCCCGTGAATGTCTCTCAGCTAAGCCCAAAGTAACCACCGGGTCCCTGACTACCCGCTCAGAGGCTGGTGTCTCCCGGCCGCCCCCGGGGGGGGCGCAGGAACGTGGGCCGAAGCGCCTTCCGGGAGAGGGCTGACGCGGCCTGCCCTGTACGAGCCAGCAGGGAAGCAGCGCCGCAGGGGCCTGCCACTCCGCTCTGGCTGGCCCAGCCCCCAGGGTCCCCGCAGGGAGGAGGCCATCGCAGCCATGGGCGACCGGCACAC